CTCTCAGACTGAAGAAGTCTCTTGGAGGAGAGACGAAACGTTTCATTAGAGAAGAACCCGTCCAGAAGACCTATACAATTTTTTTCTTTTTGATTGACAATTAAACTACTTGAACTTGAACTTTGTAGTAAAATCAGCTAAAGTGAATGCACTTATTTACAGTTTTAACTTATGTTGAAACTGTTTTAGTTGGGAAAAATATGAACATGGTTTTAAATATTCAGCTTTGTGCAAATCCTTTGTCTCTACCTGAGGCTCATACATCCAGGGTGTATCCGCCCGCCTCTTCCCGTCAGACTTCTTAAACACGTAGGCCGAGTAAAGGGGCAGACGACGGCTGCTGTCGTACAGCGTGGCGTAGCGCAGTTTGTCTGCATACTTCTGGCAGATCGTCTTCAGGCTCGTGCCTCGGACCCCCGCCGGGGAGGTCTGCATGTAGAAGAACTGCCTGCAGTCTCTGAAGCTGCTGGACACGGCGGCGGTCAGTGGGTGGGCCGTCGACACCAGACAGATGATCAGGATGTAAAGCAGGTGCATCTTCGCACGGCCGGAGGGGTTGGAAAGTCGGCGAGGCTAACTCTCCATCACGGCACATCTTCCACGTCCAAACAAAAATGAAATATATGTCCAGAGTGAGGAGTGTTCTTTTGAATGAGTGCTGCTTTTCCTCTAGGGAACAGTAAAGACAGTTAGACAGGAAATATGCAAAGCAAGGCAAATCTATTGGTTGGTTACTGAGTTTATCTGGTCCAACAGCCACGTTCCTCTGCACAGACGTTCAGCTCAAAACTTTCTGTAAGACGTAGACATGCTTTTTTTGATCTTTTCATTGCTGGCCATGTTGATGAAATCTCTTTATTTGAAACTAAATGATATTAAATCTTGAACACATGAGCAGAAATCATCATTTGCATGCTCTGTCGACTGTATAATCCTTCAATTTGAACAGTTTCCCTGTTAAAGATGCGTCTTTTTCTCCACATGCACAGGTTTCTTCTCCACTCACATATTGTTTGTCTTTATGCATAAAGTTAAAAGTGAAGAAGAATCCAATACAGGATCTGTCCATCTCCCACTCAGCTCTCCTGCAGGCCGAGCTGACCAATGCAGAGCTGCTGGGACCACGCTGGTCGGCAGGAGCTTTGATGTGGTCACCCTGCAGCGTAAACAGGCCGCTGGAAATGGCTGTGAACAGCAGCTGAACACTCTTCACCTCGGTGTGTGGGAAGCTGCACAGCCTGCAGGTGGTGGAAAACCAGAGGTGTTTGAAACCAAAAACAAGATTATCCACCAGTAAAGCCTTCATCATGGGGAGTCGTATCGATGTGAAAACCGTGGAGACGAGGCCGGGGCCTGAACAGATGCTTCCAGGTCAGCTTCATTAACCAACGAGTTAATACTACAGCTGAGAAATAATACAGAGCTGTGAAAACTCTCCTTGGTGATTTGTGAATAAACTGTAATTAAGCTCATGCTGCTTGTGGGCTGTGGGGTGGCACGTTCTCACCATCATGAGGGTGATCGAGTGGAATCAAACCAAAGCCATCCACAACAACGTGGAACCAGGAGTTCTACCTGGAAACAGCTGAGTCGCTCCAGAAGAGGGAGGTGAGGTTTGAGGTTTTGTTACGACAGACAGAAAATCCCCCCGGGGTCCTGCTTCACCTCGGTCTAATCTGGGTCGGTCACCTTTATGTGTCCCATGAGTCACTGTGGTTTCTTTTTTATACTTCTGAGCTGCCTCAGGTCTAACTGAGGACACGTGGCAACAATGATAACCATGAAGAAAAGACAATTCCTCTGAGGGAGTTGTAACTTTACCGATTCTGTTCATTACTTTCATGGACAGAATTTCTAGGCGCAGCCGAGGTGTTGAGGGGATCCGTTTTGGTGGCCTTAGGATCACATCTCTGCTTTTTGCGGATGATGTGGTCCTGTTGGCTTCATCGGAACGTGATCTGCAGCTCTCGCTGGAGCGGTTCGCAGCCGAGTGCGAAGCGGCCATGATGAGGCTCAGCGCCTCCAAATCCAAGGCCATGGTCTTGAGCCAGAAAAGGGTAGAGTGCCTTCTCCGGGTCAGGGGGGTCGTCCTGCCTCAAGTGGAGGAGTTTAAGTATCTGGGGATCTTGTTCACGAATGGGGGAAGAACGGAGCGGGAGATCGACAGGCGGATTGGCGCAGCGTCTGCTGTAAAGCGGGCGCTGTACCGGTCCGTCGTGGTGAAGAGAGAGCTGAGTCAGAAAGCGAAGCTCTAGATTTACCGGTCGATCTACGTTCCTACCCTCATCTATGGTCATGAGCTTTGGGTCATGACCGAAAGAACGAGGTCCCGGATACAAGCGGCCGAAATGGGTTTCCTCCGCAGGGTGTCTGGGCTCTCCCTTAGAGATAGGGTGAGGAGCTCGGTCATCCAGGAGGGACTCAGAGTAGAGCCGCTGCTCCTCCACGTCGAGAGGAGCCAGTTGAGGTGGCTCGGGCATCTGGTAAGGATGCCTTCTGGACGCCTCCCTGGTGAGGTGTTCCGGGCACGTCCCACCGGGAGGAGGCCCCGAGGAAGACCCAGGACACGCTGGAGGGACTATGTCTCTCGGCTGGCCTGGGACCGCCTTGGAGTTCCCCCGGAGGAGCTGGAAGAAGTGGCTGGGGAGAGGGAGGTCTGGGCCTCCCTTCTGAAGCTGCTGCCCCCGCGACCCGACCCCGGATAGGCCGAAGAAAATGGATGGATGGATGGAGTTGTAACTTAAAGCGTAAATAAAGAATTCAACAGTGTTTTAATCAGAAATAATAAAAAATATAGTTTCAGCAGTAGCATTAAATATATTCTCAACAGCTGGATTATTATTGGCCAGGAGGCTAAATGGCCTTTTCATATTTTAGTGAGACTCAATTCAAAATTAAATTTTTATTGTAAATTTAAAGAGTCTGGGTGTTGCCATTTAGCTGCTTTGAGGGGGGATTTCTGGTTGATAATTAGTTTTCTTTACAGCAATCAACACTTCTCACTGCTTAAGTTGCACCACTGATGCTTTATCAAATGTGTGCTGTGTTTTGGCTTGGTGACAGCAGCTTCAAGGGTGCAGCCTTGTGCCTTTTGACATTTGTTTAAAAAGGAACACATGATAAAAAAGGGAAAACTATTTCTGCATACTTTTTTGTTTTTTCATGAATGTAGTTACAGCTTCAGTAAGACTTGTTCAGTTCAGGTGTTAAAAAGCACTTAACTAAACAAAATGATGCTAATTCTAATAAGCAATGAGACCAACAAAATAGATTTTCATACTTAATACCACATAATTATTATATTGATTTTATTTTTATGTAGGCAGATAATCTTATTGAGACATTTAGTGTCGTTTAACACAGGCAGAGAACGTCAGCAACATAATAAACAATACAATAATAATAAAATTGATGGATTTTAAAAAGGGAACAGTTTAAATAAAACCTAAAAACTAAAGCTTTGAAATGATTTTTCTATTTTCTTTAAAATATGTTTCAATAAACAGTGTGTGTTTTTTAAAACAAGCATTAATTTAGCTTTTATGCACTTTGTTAGTATAGTTATTTCATTTTAAAACCAGTTTTGTCATCTTTGTTTATGTTGTCTAACACCGCCCCCTGGTGTTCAAGACCGAGTACTGCAATACTCAGAACGTAGTACGTGGTAAACTTGGAGGGAGACTAAATACAACATTACACGTTTGAAACACAATGCATTCAACACACGAGTTTGGTTTACTGAGAACAACTTTATTTGTAAAGAACTCCACGGGTACGTAGAGTACGCAACGTATTGCAACGTACGCAACATGCAATAAAATGGCTTCGTTGCGTGGAGGCTTGCGGGCTAATTAAGCCAGGTAAAGCTTATTTAAAATAAATAAATAAAATCCGTCCAGTGTAATAAACAGTAGGGTGGTATGCTGGTGAAAAATAGGGGTGTGTTTGCTCTGCTCCGACATTGGTTACCAGCTTGTCAGTGTCCAAGTCACGTGGTGTCCCACGGACGGCCATGTTTTCCCGAAACACAAACAAGAAGAGAAGCAGCGACTCGCAGCAGCAGCAGACACATACTGATACTTCAGCGACCGTTGGAGGAGGAGGAGAGCGAGAGCGACAGAGGAAGAGAAAAAAAAGTTAATAAATAAAACGCGTATTTTTTTTTTGTTTCCCGAGATTACTATCGAATGAATACGTTTACAGTGTTTAAAAAGACCAATGCATACGATATTGTGGCTGTAGACACGCGGCGCGGACATAAACAGAAGGTAAGGTTCCTCTTTGCAGCCTCGGCTAACGCACGAGCTAACAGGCTAATCTCTGCTGCTTTCAGGCTCGACTTGTCCTCAAAGCTAACCGCGTTCCTTAGATCTGTTTTACACACGTAAACCCGTCCCGGTTGCGGGGTTTTATGTTCCTGTCCTAATGCATTTGGGCTAAACTTGGAGGATAGGACGGGGACTGGATGTGGTGTTTTGGCTCCTCGGCGGAGCAGGCCGGGGAGTCTCCTTCCCAACAGTCCGCCCCCTCCGCCATCATATCTGGTGTCAGGCGAATCATCGCACCAGGCCTTCCCGATCCACCGCATACCTTCACGCTACTTTAAGTGGTAAAACCGACTTTATTGTGATATTTACAAACATATAAATTGCTGTAAATTGTTTATATCAGTTCTGCTATGCCGTTAGCTGCAATTAGCTTAAAAAGACGAATAATGCTAAACGTTAGCATTCACTGAAGCTATTTTCGTGTTAGCCGCCGTTTGGAGTTTTAGCATTTCGTTGTTTTTCCAAAGTTTTACCTTGTGTTTACTGAGTGCTGCGAGCAGCAAAGACTTACCGAATGCGTGGGAAATATTTGTTTAGTGCTTAAAATCGTGCACCTGTTCAAATGTGTGCTTTTTTTAAAAAAAAAAATAATTATTTTCGGTTTTATGACTTTGAGTTTTATTGTTAGAAAGTTTCTCTGCTGATAAGAGTTGACCTCATTGTGTGTTTGTTGTTTTAATAATGACTATTAATTATTTGTTTTAATTTTGCTGTCTGTTAAAAATATATATAATAAAGTCCACGTGCTGAAAATCACAATGTTGACAAAATTACAAATTCACACTTTAACAGAGAGCATTATTTATTCAAATTTACTACAACTACAGCTGCTTGGAGAAGACATCCTAGTTGTAAAATTGTCAGTTTATTAACATGTTTTTTAATATGTTTAATACAGTATATCAAATGTGATTGTTTGCTTTTTATAGCACCCTATTTTGTTTTTATTTACGTTTTTATTTTAAAGGAGTAAGCCACTCAAATCCACCTCATCTAACACTAGAACTACAAGCATTTTCAAACAACTCCTTTTTCTACCAAAGTCTGCCAAATAGCAGTGCTGGGGGTGATTTGCAACCCATTAGGCCATCTTTTGTTATGTTCCAGGTAATGCTAAACAGGGGTGATGGGTGATAGTATGAACCATGTTGATCCGACTTGGAAAAGAAAAGAAAAAAACCCTGATTTTAACCCGTCCTGATGCGTAAAGAGTGCTAAAAATATATTTGATCTGAATTTGAGTCATATTGACTTGTCAAGAAAAAAAAGTTTGCCAGTGGGGTGAGATATTTTGACATAAAACAAGACAAAATGTCCTGATAAGATTATTTTACTTAGGTTTTTATGAAAGTTTAAGTAAAAAATGTATTTTTTTCAAGTAGCTGAGGGTTGTTTTTGTATAAATTTATGTAAAAATATCTTTACCTATTGGCAGTTTAAAAAAATAAAAATTTCTAAGGTAAGGTATTACTAAGGTATACAGTATAAGGTAAAAAAACAAAACTGAACTTTAGCTATTTTGACCTATCAGTATGTCACCTTTTTCAGTGTGAAAACAGTCTAAATTTGTACAAAGGAGGCATACTTGAGATGTTTTGGAATTATAGTTCAAATAATGTATTTGTGTCAGTTTCACATTATTTCAATATTATTTTTATAATAAAGAGAAAGATGACTACAGACATATAAAAACTTGTTAATAAAGTGCATAAACTTTATATAATAAACTGCACAAAAGTAAATAGGGCTACATACTGAGTGAAACTAAATAGAATAAATGTTTCTCAATATAGTACAATATTACAAATATACACAATGAAGGTAACTGTGTAGGACTGTACGATATGGCAAAAATTTCAAATCACGATATACATTATGATGAGTGGCGGTAACGATATATATCACGATATAAAACTTGTAATAGAAAATAAATAAATCGCACATTAACTGAGTGGAATAAATATGTATAGGTAAAAAATTAGACCTTAAATAGTAGTTCTGACATGAAATACTGCTGATAACATTTCACCAGTATTTTATTTTTACTTCTACTTGAACAAATTATGCATAAAACAAAATCAAAGAAAATACAACTTCCTACTCAGGGATAAAGAGAGGAAAAAGGCTGAGTTTTAATAATTTGAAATGCTAGGGGAAAATACAAATGATGGTAGAGCAAAAAGGTTTTCCCTCTTCACTTCTATTATTTCAGTAAAGCATCAGAATTTGATGTAGATCAGTCAGTCCACCTCCTTATGTCCTGTTTTAAAGGCACAGTGTGTAGTATTTGTTGTTTTCAGCGACATCTAGTTGAGTAGTTGAATCGTCCTCCCCCCACCCCCCGCTTCCAAACACAAAGGAGTYGCTACGGTGTCTCTCAGGTGTCAAAAACCTTTGATAATTCCAACCGCGATGTCTACCAGCAGCTTCAGGGCTAGTGATGTTTCAAGTGGTCAGATTATGAGCTTTAATAAGTAAAATTATCCCAGCTACAATGACAGACAACAAATATTACATTCATACACTGCTCAAAAAAATAAAGGGAACACTTAAACAACGCACGCTAACTCCCGATCTTAATCAGTGAAATATTCGCATTGAGTACTTTGTTCTGTACAGAGTTGAATGTGCTTCACAAAAGTTTGATTTACTTGGACTTAGCGTGCGTTGTTTAAGTGTTCCCTTTATTTTTTTGAGCAGTGTAGTATTACAACTAAAACCGTTTTTTGACGCCGCCACCGCAGTTTGTCCTTCATGAGCCTTCATAGACAAGATGGCGGTGCAAGATGGCGGCTGCCTGTAGCGGCGACCTGCGACCATGGAGATATAAACAGCTTTTTATACGGTAAAAATAATAAAACAAGGTCTTAGTCTGTCATGATTAGACATGTTTTCTATTATTGTCATTAGTGATTATCTCAATTTCAGCTAAAAGAATTGACAAAATCCTACACACTGTGCCTTTTAGTCGTACGAGTCGACGTGCCTTAAACACACTGTGTGATCCTTAGTTTAACTTAAAGAAAAGTTAATATTTGAGCCTCTCTGTAAATGAAAGTGTACATTTGACCTGCTGACTTTGTCCAACAGCCATGGACTTAAAATGTGTTTATTGCAAAAATATTAGAGGCACAACTGATTTGTTTAGGCTACTCAGGAAGTTTACTAAATATAGTTCTGCAATCACATTTTTCTGAGCTGCTCTGAATCACAAACTGTTACTCAACATCAACGAGGCTCTAAAAGTTAGAGAAAACCTGATAGCAGCTGTGAAACACACGGGGTAATATCAGCATCGTATTCAGCAGTTTAATGAATCTTTTATTGATTTGTGTTGCTTCTTACAGTTCTACATAATTTATTCGAAGTAGTAAAGGAATTAAATGTTGTGCTTTGTGTCTTTGAGCATTTAAATGTGTTTTTGCCTGCTTCATGTGTAAGTTTTGTCAAAAATTTCACAAATTGGGTTGTAAATTTAAACTTAAGAGACATGCAGTCATTTCTTTATTGGAGCAGCTAAACTCTGTTTCTAGACGAGTCTTAAAAAGTTTAGTGATTGGGCAACATTTGACGCGTTCATTACTTGTGTTAAAAAACTACTTTAGTGAGTCGTCTGATACGGTAATGGTTTAAAATAGTCCCTCAAACACACGTTTTACTAAATTATGATAAATAAAAATAATGAAATGAAACAAACACCAAAAAGAAGCACAATTTGACACCAAAAGCAAATACTTCAGGCTTTGAAAAATGTCAAATGACTATTTTTTTATCGCTAATAGAAGCACATCTGTAAGACTGAATAAAATTCATATTTTAAAATATTTAAGTCTGTTTAATAATTGCTTAACTTAAATTCTTTAAATGGATTCTAAACTAAAGTACCCATAAAATACAGTTTGACTAAAAGTTTTATAGCAGAACCAGGGGTCTCCAATCAGTAGCTCCTGGGCTCATTTAAAGTAGCTCTTCACTGCTTATGAAAAATTAGGAGAAGCAAAATTTAATTTGTCACTGGCCAACCAAACTTTCATTTAACTCCAAACAATCTATAGATGTCCCTTCCCCTTGGTTGTCAAACAGTTTAGGGCTATAATAATAGGGCTATACCCTAATAATAATAACCCTAAGTTATTAGTGTAAAATACAATACAGTATAATATGAATGGATAATTACAAAAAGCACAATTATGTAAATTCAGTGTTCTTTGTAATAGTTTTGTGTGAATTGAAGACAAAGTTTTTGTGCAAAACAAACTTATTCCAATGGTTTTATATTTTAAATGAAATGTTGCAAAAAGTTGGAGACCCCTGCAGTAGACTAAAGGCCCTCTTGCACAATAACCATTTAGACAACTTATGCGTACTTATGAACATTTTATGACTATTTTACTCATTTCTTGTATGTATTCCATCTAATTGTTAGTATTAAAGTATGTAGAGGTCCATCTTCAGCTTAGACATCTTTAATGTTGGATAAAGCTTTCATATGTTAAAAATGTTATAGTGTGACGGGGTCCTACGACATGACAGCAGTGCAAAACTTACCTCAGAAGTAAAACCTTTTTTAATATAATGATTATAGTTAAAATGGACATATCAACTACTAAACATCCTTGGAATTGTATCCCATGTTCTACTCAGACTTTACATTGTCTTTGTGTATCAACATGCTTTATGATGCATGGAGGGACCAGTTGTCAGTCAACAAGACGTTGTAGTTTATACAAAAATGACCACAATCCAGCAGTATTTTAAAAACTGCTAAGTTTTATAGTGCAAGACAGAAATTGCTAATGATAGTTATAATAGGCGATTATAAAAATAACCATTGGTGCTCAAAGTGATAGAGTTGTAGCGTGCTAACTAATTGATAAATCATTGGTCCAATTTCCTCAAAACTTTAGCAAATAATTCATTTTCTGAACATTAAATTTTCTATAAAATCAGATACTAGTTGGAGTTTTCACAAAATAAACTAAAGCATTCATCACCACTAATGAATACACAAGTTAATATGAATTAAAGATATAGTTGGTACAAAACTGTAATTTATTTTGTGACCTATGTGACAGACTTTGAAATTAATTAATTAAACAATGAATTATTTTTATTTTTTGCAAAAAATATTTATTACTTAGTTACAACATATCAATAAAATAGTGGGAATGCAGTAAAAAGCCATTATTTACTATGTAATAGGGAACCCAAGACTGCAATATTGCTGCTGTTTTTGTTATTTATGTATAATAAATTAAACTAATTTAGGTCAAGGAAGATGGAGAACAATTCTTTCAACTAACAGCCATCAATAAGTTTAACCTGACCACTAACTATTTCAGATCTGTAGGGATGCATTTGTCTGATTTGTGAGCGTACACTTTTTAAATGAAGCTCCCTGGATGTTTTCATTTCTGTGACATTTTCAGGAATAATTCCCAGCCAGCTGCAGAGCTTAAGAAGCAGCTGGTTCGGGACCAGAAATAGTTCTTTAATTTATTCACTGAAAAAAAAAAAAGAAAAAAAATCCACTTTGCCTTCCTGTGCACTCAGAGCGCTGTAACAGATTGATCAAACTGAGCTGCTACCTTTCACTGTTTCCGAGGCACACAGCGTGAATAATATTGTCAAAGCTCTGCAGTGGAAAAAGAAGAAAAAATTAAATATTACACCACCTTTCTTCTGAATATGTAGGTGGACTTCCAACTGCTTCAAGTGCACTTCCATCAGCAGCTAATTTATCTAGTTATTTATTTTTCATCTGATTTCACCGTCATCTCTAAAACTTCTCTCTTTTTTTTTCTCCAGTGGTGCAAAGGAAGGAGGACAGGAAATTAAGGAGTTACCTGGAGGGTCTCCGTCAATCCACATTTCAGCTGGAGCGAGAGGAAGAAGGCACAGAGGGGAGAGAAAGGAGAAAAGGAGTGCGAGTCGTGTCTGCTTTTGGCAGCTGTTCCAGCAGCCGATTGTATTCTTTTCGGCTGTTAGATTTATTTTTGTTTTTTCCCGTGTTTTTCTTTTTTTTTTTTCTGATGAATTCTTCATATTTTTAACTTTAATGTGAGATACAACTGCTGTAAAACAAAACAAAAGAAAAAAACTATTCAAAAGTGTTTTATTTTTGTTCCACTGTTGATTTTTTGAGGTCCTTTTTGTTTTTTATGTTTTACAACTTTTTATTTTTATTTTTTTGGCTGTGAGTAGCAGGAGCTTCCATTCTCCAAAACGTCTCATCAGAACCCCTTCCTTACCTAGTTAAGACCTGATAACCTGGTATTCCTCAGACACCTGAAAGTGGCAGCTATTTTCTTTTTGTCTGTGTGTTTGGGGAGCTCTGTGACCACAGCTTAAGCACCAGTCAGCCTTCTAGTCACCTAAGCCTAACTAAAGCCAGCCAGCTCTAGCCTGGTCCAGTCCAGTTCAGCCTGCTCCGATTATCTGGACAGGGTAAGAACTATCCAGGAACATTTGTATAGTTTGGTTCACAGGGACAGAAATTAAAGTTAAATGTTTTTGTTTTTTAGATACTCAGTTCTGTGTGGACGTGAGGAATATGACTGCTGAGACTCTTAACTTCGGCCCAGAATGGTAATGGATCAACTCTTTTTTTTTACATTTAAAGTAATTTATGACTGGAGTTATTTTTGCTCCTGCAAACACATTTAGATACATTTTAATTAATTGGACTAATTTCAAGTCTGCATGCTAAGTTTTGATTCCTTTATAACACATCTTAATCCTCAATCTGTGGATGGTTTGATATTTACATTTCAAAATAAAATTGCAAAATTGTTAGTTTATTTTTATTTTTTATTATTTTGTAAAAATGTGAAATCATAATAATAAAAAAATCCCCCGTGTTTAATTTTTGGTTCAGCTCCAACATAACATGTACATGTTTAATAAGTAGTGATGCCGGAAATGATTGAAATCGCCAAAGAAGAAGAGTTTACCGTATTTTTCGGACTATAAGCCGCACCCGCCATTTTTTAAAAAAAACGTGCGAACATCAACATATAAGCCGCACCGGACTATAAGCCCCACCCCCATCAGTAAAAACAAAAACAAAACAGTACACCCAAAATTGTGGTCAAAAAAGTGAATTCAACATCACATTTATTTTTAAGAAAAAGGTTGGCAAGTTCACCGGTACAAAATAATAATAATAATAATAAAAATTTCAGAAAAAAAAAAGGCGAGAGGCCTGGAATTAAAACATAAAAAGCAAACCTTTAGAAATTACCGGTAAAGTTCGGAGGAATACGGTTCATTTAACTGACCTTATTTTGGTAGTTTTCTTTAACCGTTTCTGGTCCAACAAAAGGTCTCATTCATCTTCCTCCGGCGCACTGAAACTGTCGAAATCCTCCTCTTCAGTGTCGGAGTTAAACAAGCTGCGTCACACAGCGGTACCTGTTCAGTTTCTGTGTCGCTGTCCTCCCGGGCTGGCTCTGAAGCTGTGGTGTCCTCTTCACGTAGCAGTCCAGCCTTTCGGAACCCATTGGTGATAGTGGACTCGTTCACTCAGCTCCACTCTGTTAGGATCCACTGGCAGACATCAGGAAATGTCGCTCTTCGCATTCGGCCAGTTTTTGTGAATGACTTATCCCGGTCAGTCAGCTGCTGGGAAAGCCCTCCCGCTCCAGCATACATCACTGCATGGGATTCCTTCCTCGGGGAGTGCAATGCCGAGAAAAAAAAGTCAGCAGCTCTTCACTCGACGTTTATCCACAAACTGGTCCTGGATTAAGCTCCAAAGTTTTTATCAGTCAGATTCCACTGTGAAAAATGTCTGTTTTATCCCCTTTTATGAGTTTTTGGCCATTGACTATCTTTATATCGCTGCTTCCTGGTACAACAGTCAGCTCTGGAAGGATCGCCTTTTTCTTTTATTTTTTTTTTAACTTTTCTTCTTTTTTTGAAGCGAGTGGTTGAAGCAAATGGAGCATAAGAGCCCCCTGGTGGCTGAAGAAAAAAATCCACGTATAAGCCGCACCGGACTATAAACTGCATGGTTCAAAGTTCAGGAAAAAAGTCACGGCTTATAGTCTGAAAAATACGGTACTAAAGGCTGCCTGAAAACAAAACATTCCTAAAGATATTGGCGATGGTTGCACTCGAACCCTGTTTTGAATAACTTACGTTAAAGTAATTTTGTTCACTGTAAGATCGTCAGCTCTGAATGAGACAAACATTCACGGGGAGAAGAGAAAACGAAACATTTCAGGAGTTCAGGACATGATTTCTGGTTCCACCAGAAGGTCCCAAATACGGCACTGACAAAATAAAAACCTTGCTTAAACTATTAATATAAAGAAGATAAAATGTAGCTTTTTCTTTTTTCTTTTTTTTGTAACTTGTGTTTTTTTCTGATTTCATTTTAAAATAAAAAACTAAAACATCTAAAGGTCCAATGAAAAAAATAGGGATGTAAACTTATGAAAATTTTAGTCTGTTATTGGTGTTATGGCCGATAACTGGTATGACACAAACACACATTTTTTTTGATATCAGTAAAAAAAACGACCAGACCTCTGACATGGCTCTACTTCAGTTATTCTTGGCTGCACAGCGTCATTAACACTTATCATGATCACACAGATACCACTCGACCAGCCATCTCCCCTCCCAAAACAGAACCACGAAGATAAAAAGTGGGAAATATCAGACGTTAATATCGGCCCAGTTTTACTTATCGGACTGATAGCATTCTTTAAAAATGACCAACATCGACTGATAACCGATGGTAATGCTGATAAACTGTGCATCCCTTAAAATAAAGGACCAAAGTCAAATTTAGAGCCATGTCGTACAAAAAGCTTGTCGCTTACTGAAACCCCAGAAGTGGTAACATTAGAAAATATAACAAGGCCATGCTCTAATTATTAATTAATTAATTTTTTTAAACTTTTTGTTTTACTTGACTGATTAAATTTGTCTTTGACTGTGGTGCGGACAGAAAAATTTGCGATTTCATTGGAAAAAGGAGTTCTCAGAACTACAATACAAACTGGCTCTTGGCATGGACATAAAGTTTTGAATTTTTATTCGTCCAAGCACACATTCAGAAAGTTTTGTGCCATTTTGTTTCGATAAGCAAGTTGTTTCTTTTACATAAGAGCCTGGTAGTAAAACAACTACATGTTGGTGGTAGTGCACCAAGACAAGGGGGCTTTTTTATTCTACAGAACCCATCAAAAACAGGACTTTAGCATCATAATGGTCCTAAAATCAGATAATTTGTGTAGTTTAGTCTGTAGTGTTTGTTTTGCCTGAAGTTAAAACGTTGGCAGGCTCTCATCCACCTCTCTGTTTCACTGCCTTTTCTTCCTCACTGGATGTTTGTGCAGCCATTATAAGAGGGGGGCGTAGTCTCCAGCATGGTAGTGCTCCATCTCTATCGGCCTGTGACTTCTGTGTGCATTCTTGGTTCTGTGCCAGAACATTTCCTCTCTTTACACATCTGCAGCAGCTTTCCTCTGCTTGTGCCCCTTCTTATTTATTTATTTTTTAATAAAGCTGCAGGGCCACTTCACGGCCTCGCCACATCCAGCTGCCTGGCCCGAATGTTTACAAGCTTTTTTTTTTCTGTGCGTTGGCTCGACAAAAACTGTGAGGTTTTTGTCTGTTGTGGTGGTGGAACTAAAAGTGAAAACAAGCCGCCGGTTCAGCACAGTTAGGATTTATAAGAGTAAAGGAAAAATACTGTGAACATATAAAGTGTCTGGAAAAAGTTTGACATTTATTTATTTATTTTAAATAGAAGCAAAGGCGTATTGCCTCAGCTCTCCTCTTAAACATATTCATATCTGCTGTACTTATTTTAACTTCTCTGATATGTTTCTGGGTGTTTTCCTTTACCTTTTTACATTCCTCGCCCACCTCCACATCTCGGAGCTGCATATGGTTTTGATGCTCGGCTGTTAATCAATGACACACTTTGTAGAGGCTGCTGAATGGAGCCATTGTTAAACAGCAGGCCTTGGAAACCAGCCTGCGAGTAATGGCTTATTAAAATGAAATCTTGAGATTGGAATGCTACTATATCATCTCTGAGCTGAGCGTATTCAGGGGGGCAGGTTGTTTTGGAAAAAAAAACATGGTTGATTTACGATAAATTTCTTTTATTTTCTCTGCTGCGAGATGAACGTGATTATTTTCTTTCTGCGATGGCAGGAGCTCCGCAGATTTGTTTCTAGGATTAAACTTTTTTAAATGTCAAGTTCTTGTTAACTTTCTGTGCTCTTCGTTCAGGCTTCGTGCACTGTCCAGTGGGGGGAGTGTGACGTCTCCCCCTCCTTCCCCCGCCATGCCAAAGTACAAGCTGGCCGAGTATCGCTACGGCCGAGAGGAGATGTTAGCACTTTATATCAAAGACAACAAGGTCAGTGGAGGATCTGGATTTTACTGGGTTAATTCTGTGTTAACAGCTAAGAGTTGATCTAAACAGGAACGCTAGGTTTTTATTTTTCTTCTTGGACATGTGATCCTGTCTGTGGGTTATTTGGTTTTTGTTCTCCTAAGCACCGGCTCTTATTGTGTTTAGGTCCCAGAGGACATGCAGGATAAGGAGTTTGCTGCTATTTTGCAAGATGAGCCCATGCAGCCGCTTGCGCTGGTGCCTCTCACCGAGGAGGAGCAGGTCGGCCACGGCACACTTCAACACTTATTAATGCTGCAGAAACTTTATAATCTACGGGATAAAATGACCTCGGCGAGCTGTTTTACTGGCGGACAGACGAGTTCACATTCCTCACATTCTTCTTCCGTCGCTCTCTCCACAGAGAAACTTCTCCATGTCCGTGAACAGCGCGGCGGTGCTGAGGCTCGTGGGAAAGGGAGTAGGTGGGCCTGCACCAGCCGGGGTCGTCCGTGGACGAGGGGCCGCGCGAGGTGGCCGAGGTAAGATTCGACGCCAAACGGAACAAATCGGTTTTAACGTGACGAATCCAGTGAAACTACAATGGCTATTCTTCAAGCTGAGTGAAACAGTTGTTCAGGGCGACCGATCAAGTGTTTGTTTCCCCTCTTTCATCCTCCATCTTAACGCAGCACACTTCCTCTTTGCTTATCTAAATAATCCTCCTTTTGTCCAGCCTCACCTGCTCAAAAGCCACCGGCCTCACGAGTGTACCACAGCTCGACACGGGCCAGCGTAAACACTCAGCGCTCGATTCTAAACAGCCAGGAGAACAATCGCTCAGTCATGTGTTAGTGTGTACGACTGCCTTGTCACAGGATGTTTGAGGCTTTAAAATTGAAAAATGAGCAATCATTTGTGCTTTTATGTCCCAGAATCTCTTAGATCTAAGATTAGTTTCTCTTACACCGCCTCAGAAGAAATGCTCTCACTGGAACCGAGTTCCTTTTAAACTGGTCCAAACATTTCATTTGTTGTTGTTTGTTTCAGAAGGGCCAGCTGACATTACAGAATATGTCAGAATTAGCCATGAAGGCTAGTTTTCTTCTGTAGTCCCTCAGGGTACCATAGGTATAAAAACAATACATACAGGCAGTGGTGGGCAGCACTTGTCTAAAAGTTAGTTCCACTAACCCTAAAACACTAACTCAGATATTTAGGTCCCCTAATTCTAAAGCACTAAAATAACCCAGTCAACCCATGAACATTCTTCAACAGACAACATGAGTCACATGTTGCTCTCTTAAGACTTATCATTGACATTCAGCTGTATTTTGGTTCATATTTTGTCACCTGGTGGATCAGTGACACACATACGAACAAAATGATTGAAGCTTTCATCGTCAGCTGTTAACATTAACATTGATCAATAACATTTATAGACCTCAGTTAGTGCTTCTAAATTAAGCCTATAAATTTAGCAAGTGCTAATCCACTAATAAATTTTAAAATTAGCAAAAGCCCTAAAGCACTAATCAGGAAATTGGTTCCCCTATTAGCACTTTAGGGGAACTGTGCCCACCACTGCATACAAGCTAATAAGATTCTTCCATGAAAAATGGCTGAAAATGTCAATTAACATGTTTTTTTTTTTTTTAATAAAGGCAAACACTACATTAAAAGTCCAGACATGGCCAGATGAAGCCACCCGTGGACCGGATGTGGCCCACGCGCTGCCAGTTGAATATCCCTGGTTTACATATTTACAGTATTTATTCATGTATAATACAATCTCAGCATAATACGGTCATCATTTTTGAACTTAAAAAGCATAAAAAAAATTACTCACCAATAACCCATGTATAATATTACCCCCTACATTATGGATGATTTTTAGCATTAAATTTCTAATATTATACATGAATAAATACAGTAATTATGCAAAACCTGTGCATTCTTCTGCTTTCTGGTATTTTATTCCAGTCATGAAAATATTTGACTAAATAAGATTTCTGACATATGTCTAAGAGGGACATCAATGTCAGTAGCTCTGGTGAAGACCAAACAAATATTTGGAAACCTGATCATATCATCCCAATTCAACAGATGATGTTTAGTTATAAATATTGCACTGCTGAAGTTCTACAGGCTTGCGATGTGTCAGATGTGCGCCGTTGATATAAAATTTGTTTTATGTTTTTTTTCTCGCTGTGGGCAAAGTTAACCACAATCTCATCACAAGAAGATGTCAATCATCTCGTTTCCTGTTTCAAACCGACCCCGTTCCTTTCTCTGTCTTTGAACAGGCCGAGGCCGTGGCGAAGGTGGATTCTACCAAAGAAGTATTGAGGACACTGAACTGGGGTTCGGTCGCAGCGTCCGAGAGATACACCGCAGCCAGAGCTGGGACGACCGGTGAGGAAAACAGCCTCAGATCTGTAGCAAGGACACAACTGTTTCTGTGAATTAAAAGCTTTAATCTGAGCTGCTGAAAGGATCTGTCATCATGTGTATTAAGTTCAGTCACTTGCTCTGTTCTTTATGAAGGTTTGCACTCTTCAGGTTAACTCAAATTTGCAGACTTTATTTTTCTTACCTACCCAGACTGAAAGGAAGCTTTTGTGTGTTTGTCATCTAACGATTCATAAGAGCGGAACCTGTTTTATGATGATTTTATTGGTTTTTATCACCTAATGGAGTCGTTTTCTTTCCACTTCCCGCCTTTTTTTTCTCTCTCAGGGGTGAACGTCGATTCGAGAAGCCGCTGCGGCGGGAGGCGGTGCGTCCCGGCTTTGAAGAAACCGGAGGTCCCGGGGCTCCCGGGAGGAAGGAGTACACAAGGGCTGACAGCGATAACTGGCGCACCCTCCGCGAGGAGCAGGAGGAGGAGGAGGGGGAGCCAGGCAGCAACTGGAGACTCACTGGATCCCGCAGGGATGGTGAGACAAACACAGGAGCTTATTTCTGCTCGTCAAACTGAACAGAAAACAACTGTATACAAAATAAAAACATGGATTTTATTTATTTCTTTAGATGTAACTTTTAATCTTATTTATAATTTAGTTGCTGCTTAGTTTAAATTCAGGACATGAAAAGGTCAGTATAAAAACCAGGTGCAGAATTTTTACTGATTTTAAATGTTAAAATAATGAGTGACCTTCAGAGATTTGCTCATGATTGCAGCGTCAGTTTTATTTTGAAGGAGCTCATGCTGACATCTAGTGGCTGTGAAGAGGTTTTTGCAGAAAAGTCAGTTTGTTTTTAAAATCAGTTTGTTGTTGACGGTTCAGCAATCCCAGGAACTGAGAATAAGGCACACATTCTTGTATTTTAAACCTTGGAGGGGAAAAAAAGCAGCCTGTTGAGGATCTGAGTGGTCTGTTTCCCTGTTAGATGGTGGTCCTCGCTCAGCGGGCTGGCGGGACCACAGCGGTCCAGGTGAAGGTCGCCGCAGGAAGTTCGACTTCGACTTCCGGGACTCGGAGGGCCACGGTCCCGGCCGCCGGCGCGCGGGGAGCGAGGGGCTGGAGGACGACAGGGACGGCCTGCCGGAGTGGTGCACAGATGAGGAGGATGGAGAGATGGGAACCTTTGACTCCTCTGGAGCCTTCATGCCTATGAAGGTACGACAGATTACCACTTGTTTAATCTTAATCCGAGGTTTTCTCTAAAGTCTCTGAATTGTTAAGTTTGATAAACGTGGAATTTAAAAAAATTTAAGTAATTTGTTGTCACTTTAGAGGAGAATATAACCATACTAGTCTTTATTGAGCCTACAGTGCAGCTGAATTTGGACCACATGAGCCTTTTGCTGCAATAATCATAAATCTGATTTTTTTTAATTGTCCCACATAGCTGTGATCCACAAAAAGTTAATTTCTCATAATTTTACACCAGTGGTCCAGTTTAAGAAAGGAAAGTAAATGTATCTAAATTGAGTTCACTTTTAAAAGTCCCTTGAAACAAACCTGAAACTCCAGCGAGGAGTTGAGGTCGTTCACTTGATTCACCCTGTTCATTAAACATCAGTGGAAATTTAAAGAGAAAAGTGAAAACAAGCAGAGGTTGAGAAATCTCTTAAAACTTTTAAGTGTTGTGGCTTTTCAATTCCAGCTTCTTTTTATTAGTCCAAATGAAAAACAAGAACAAGAGAAATGGTTAGTTTCTGTTTACTGAGCTCCACAGTGATATTTATTGATGCCAAAGCTCTTTGTTCCTGTTTGCAACAAATACAATAAATTATTACTTCTTTTTATTTGAAGATACTGACTGGTTTATCAAACAAAGATGTGAGCTTTTGCTTGTTTGTGTTTTTAGAAGGGCGGGAAGGAGACAATCCTGGAGGAGGACCTGGACTTCCAGGGCATCGAGGAGGAGGAGGAAGAGGAAGAAAACCTCCCTAATGTAGAGAGGAAGAGCTCTGAAGGAGACAGGGGTGATTAAAAATAGTATTTTATGTATTTCTTCTTTATATATTAAAGACAAAAAGACTCATTAATTATGTTTTTTCTATCCTCAGAGAGTAAAGATGCCGTGTCTTCTGCAGGGGATGAGAAAATAAAGCCAGCATCACCCTCCTCTTCCTCTCCTCCAGCCCACTGTGCCCCTCCTTCACTGGATCTTGGACTTGTTGGTCAGGTGATGGAGAACTCTCACCTGAGCAACAGCCACTGTGTGAAGCCCAGCAGCTCACCTGCAGATGGTACGATCACCCTCACACACCTCGGCTTGTATAAATAGATTTTTTGCGTGTTTTAAATCGAATAAATCCCCTGCATCGGGTTTTTGTTTTGCCCACATCCACTCATTCTGAAATATAAACCTTGTTTTGAAGCTTTTCAGGTTCTTGTACGAGTTCTCATTAGTGTTGGACTCATAGCTGCAGGACGGTGTGTGTGAGAGAGAGAAAGTTTGGCACTGAGTGTATGTTGGTTTGACACAGAATCTGTTTATCTGCAGTCATTGAATATCTTGTTTACTGGCGGTGCTGTTAAAGCTGGATCAGATACAGAAAGCAGCAGGCGGCTCAGAGCTCCAGAAACAGCAGCGGTAAAAATAGAAGCCATTGTTTAATTCATCCTTCGTCTTGTTTCTGTATCAGACTTGGCTCCCATTGGGAGCTCCAAGGCCCAGCTGAGCCCCACCACCCCCACCCCCGCTGCTGCTGCCGCCGCCTCCTCCTCCAGCCTACCTCCCCCACCCTCTTCCTCTGCTGCTCCTCTCCTCCCTCCTTCAGGAGGAGATACTGAGGATGATGAAGGCATGAAGCACCTGCAACAGGTCGGAACAGCAGATCATCCTAAATAATACACACAGATCATGAAGGGTTTAGATGGGTCATTTAAAGACTCTTTCTGCAGATTTGTTGAATTTTTAAAAGATATTAGTTTAAAAAAATGTACAAAATACATCTTATTGTAGCTCAGACTTATTTCAGTATTATATGTTATGGTTGATCTTTAACTCAGTTGTACTGAAAGTTTTTGCATTTTGAAGTTTTGGAGCTTGGAAGTCTTTTAGGCCAGAGGTTCTCAAGCTGAGGTCACAGGACCCCCAGTGGTCCACGAGTTGCAACTTGGGTGTCCTCAAAATATTGTAACAAGATGTCCTGATGCATTTCAGTAATCTAGGTAGAAAAAAATCAAAAAGAAAAAATAAGTAGGTCCTCTGGACGGGTTCTTCTTTAGTGAAACGTTTCATCTCTCCTCCAAGAGACTTCTTCAGTGCAACAAGATGTTGATCTTTGTTTTTATTTCTAGCATTGTATTTGGAACAAAGTAAAAGTAAAACAAACATACTAAACCAAACAAAAAATAATAATTATTCCCATGGCACTTCAGGGTTAAAATGACCTTTTATAAGGGGTCCCCAAACCCAAAACATTTGAGAACCCGTTTCAGGCTGTGTTCACACTGCAGGCAAATGTGACCCTCATCAGATTTTTTTCCTGACAGTCTGAACATGAAAAATCCAAATATTTTTTTTTCTCAAATCCAACCCAGATCTTTCAGTACTAAAGTGAATACATATCTGATATTTTCTAAAGTGACCTCAGTCTGAACACTTCATCAGACTTGTGCGTCAGTGAGGTGAGGGAAAAGAAGGTCGATCCAAGTAATAAAAATAATACTAAACTTGAATCATGCAGTTTAAATCTTGTAGATCTTCAGCTACAGAACAGAAGTCCAGTTGCTTCGTCTTTGTTCTTTTAATTTTGTAACTGTATTAAAGTTACCACAGCGATACTTCACTTCCAGCACGTTGCTCCCGTTCCTAAAATAAAACCTGAGCAGCCAACAAGAGGCAGGTTGAAATGTAAACAGTGAAATAAACAAGCAGATGATTGTTTAATTGGCTTCAGAAGCAGCATGCTAGCATGTAGCATCCATGTTTTTATAAACAATATGATGTCATCTCTGTGCATGCAGGTCGAATCACTGCTGTAGAGAATTTATTTAATTCAAAAAGACAAATTATATACAGTAAAGTAAAAAAAAAATTATCTATATTATAGATAATAATATATATATTAATATATTATATTATTTATCAAACAAACGTGGTTCTCCTAACACTAGATTTAAAACAACTCAAAAACATCTGGATATTTGAATAAAAAAAGGGGAGTAGAAGGTAAAGACTAAAGCTGTGTGTTTCTGTGCAGGAGGCAGAGAAGATGGTGGCGTCCCTGCAGGACACCTCCTTGGAGGAGGAGTGTTTCACCCAGGCTCTGCAGCAGCAGGAGAGCAGGAACACAGCTGCTGCGCTGCCGCTATCTCACGAGGCTGCTATGAAGTGGTTCTACAAAGACCCTCAGGGCGAGATCCAGGGTACCGCTCAGCTTCCATGTTTAACACGTCTGAGTTCAGCTGGTTTGTGTTTGAAGCTGAGGTCAGCAGCTTTCTGTCTGTGTCCTCTCCGGCAGGTCCGTTCACCACGGTTGAGATGTGCGAGTGGTTCCAGGCCGGCTACTTCACCATGACCCTGCTGGTGAAGCGGGGCTGTGACGAGGGCTTTCAGCCCCTGGGGGACGTCATCAAGATGTGGGGCCGTGTGCCCTTCGCCCCAGGACCCTCGCCGCCGCCCCTGCTGATGAGACAGCTCCCACCAACGCAGCGCTCGCAGCCCAGCCGGGGGCCCACCGGGACTGTGAGTCAGACCTCAGTCAGAGGGGAGAAGATACATGATCGATGTGAAAGTCATGTCTTTGAAACCCTCGTTACAAAGAATGAACCGTAGCTGCTCTGATGACTAAATGCTGCTGTCAGAAACGAGGCAGAGGAGTTGTTTGGGTTTTGAAGATTCGATCATAAAGTGTTTTATCCTGACTAGTTTCTGTTGTGTTTGCAGGGAAACCTGGAGCAGGAGCGTCTGAAGAAGCAGCAGCAGCAGGAGCTGGCGGCCGCAGCTCTTTATCAGCAGCTCCAGCAGCAGCAGCTATTCCAGCTCATGAACAGGTGCAGAAAACCTAACACCATTATTCATCCCAGTTCAGTTTATTTATACCTTTTAAACATTTTAGTTTTAACTGGAAGAGGGCTTCTTCTGTGTGTCAGGTGCAGTGAGCAGGGTATAATGCCTTCGATGAACAGGTCGATGTCAGTGCCAGATACAGGGTCCATGTGGGACATGCATACCTCAGCCTCACAGCCGTCAGGTACTTTTTTATTTTCTACATTTAAAACTTTAAATTAAAACACACAACCGCAGCGTCTTACCTGTTCTGTGTGATTGTTTCCATTCAGGCAGTGAGGCCAGTCTTTGGGACTTAATGAATCCTTCTACTCAGGGTCCAGCTCTTGAACAGCTTCAGAAGGTCGGTTCAGTTTTACAGTTTTTTTATTTATTTGTTTATTTACTTACTTATGCCAAACTGAGTTAACACATTCGACGTCCCGTTCCTCTCAGCTCCAGCAGGAGAGGCGAGACGCTGAACTCAGGGCGAAGCGCGAGGAGGAGGAGCAGCGTAAGAGGAGGGAGGAGAAGAGGAGGCAGCAGGAGGAGCAGAAACGGAGGGAGGAGGAGGAGATGTTCAGACGCAAGCAGGTGAGATGAAAAATAAAAACCAAACAAGACAGGATCAGTTCTGGCTTTTAGCTAATTTTACCTTTTAGCTAATGCTAAGCATTAAAATTAGCAAAACAAAATTCTTTATTTACACAACTGTGTTCGTTTTAGTTTGTAGCTACAAATTTGATAATTTTAGCTTTTACCTGTGATGCTGCTAATTCTGTTTTTGATAACTTGGTTTAAAAGCTAAATTGAACAAATTATTTACTATTTTGCTATGACATTGATAATTGTGGCTTTAAGCTAATTTACCTTTTTTTAATCAGTTTTGTTAATTTTAATGTTTAACAACAATTTTTATATACACTGTTGTGCGCATTTTTAGTTTGTAGCTACAGTTTTGATCACTTTAGCTTTTACCTATGATGCTGCTAATTTAGAGTTTTGGATAATGTCTTTGTAAATTTAGCTTTTAGCTATGCCATTGCTAATTGTGGCTTTTCAGCTACAGTTTTAGTAATTTAAGCTTTAGCTACATTCAACCTTTAGTTATATAGTATAGTTGTGCTCATTTTAGCTTTTAGTTATGGTCTTGATACATTTTGCTTTGACTGTTTTGCTAATTTTTTGCCATAGATTTAGTGATTTTAATTTTTAGCTACCATTTTGCTAGGTCTAGCATCTTTTCTGCTTGTTTTCACTTTTAACATATCGGTCATTTTCGAACCGTCATTCAGTTTTCTTGTTTTTATTTTTACAGAAAATGAAACTAGTTTAATAAACACATTTAGTTGTAGTAAAATAAATAAAAATCAAAGCGTCGGGAGTTGAGCAGGTGTATAACGTGACGTCCTGTGTTTCTCCTGCCTGTAGTGTCGTCAGCAGCAGGAACTGATCATGAAACTGCTGCAGCAGGCCCCCCAGCAGCAGGGGCCGGGGGCCAGCGGCTCCAGTTGGAGCAGTGCTTCTTCATCCGGGCTACCAAAGTCAGCGAAGTCTCTGACTCTGCTGGAGATGCAGCAGCAGAGGGCCCAGCAGCAGAGAGTGAGTTTCTCAGCTGTCACAGGATCGCATGTTTGCAGGGAGTTAAAAACACTGATCCTGTTTCCTCTCCTGCAGCACGCCGGCATGTCCATGGGGAGCTCCTCCATGGGCGGGCAGTGGTCGGAGGGCATCGGCATGTGGGGTAGCATGGAGGGCAAGGGTGGGAGCGGCGGCTCCTCCAGCAGCATGGGGATGTGGGACGAGCCCGTGAAGAACCAGAGCGGCCTGCGCGGGAACACCAACAACAACCTGGGCTTAAAGAACAGCCGCAGCAGCCCCTCCCTCAGGTAAAATAAATAATCCCGAATAATCTCTCCTCCCTAACATTCCAGATATTTAGTGCTTCACTAATAATACGTGCGTTTATCCTTTTTGCAGCGATCAGTACATGATGCGTCGTAAACGGACGGAGGAAGAGGAGAAGCTGCTGAAGCTGCTGCAGGGCATGAAGCCTCAGGACGGCTTCACCACCTGGTGTGAACAGATGCTGCACGCTCTCAACACCTCTGCCAACAACTCCTCCTCTCTGGATGGTACGAAGCTCAGCCTTGAAATGTTTCACTCCACTGAGTTCAGGCTAAATTCACCATCAATTAAACAACAAATCAGAACTACGTAATCTCTCCTAGCAGCACTTTTGGGAGTCATATTTTTTGCTCAGTGGTAACATTTTGTTGATGTGCAGCTTTTGTTCGTCACTAGAAATGATGTTAAAACCAGAAACTAAAAAGGAATAAAAACAAAATATAAAATCTGTCCCTGATAACCACATACGATAATGCTGAGACATATCCATGTAATTCATAAATAATTATAATTATCTAGAATCCTTTTGTTTACCTTTTGATAACTGTCTTGACGTCGTGTCTTTGTGAAGTTGCCACCATCGTGGCATACCTGAAAGAGGTGGAGTCTCCCTATGCAGTGCTGGATTTCATCCGGTCCTACCTTGGGGACACTGTGGAAGCCAAAGAGTTCGCCAAACAGTTTCTTGAGCGACGTGCCAAACAGAAAGCCAACCAACAGAGGCAGCAGCAGCAGCAGGTAGGCCTGAGCTGCAGGACGGGAAACACCAGCTTTGTTACATTTAAAACAAAATGTTTAAGAAGGACTGTTGTATGTGCATGTGTAGAGTATTTAAATGACAACTTTGTGTTATAAGACGTATTGTTCTAAAAGTAAATTATGTTGCGGTTTAAAGACGGATCTTTACATTTTAAGTGGCTAAATTGGTTTTATCCCCCCAGTTATCAAAGGAGGTGGGTGGATTGAACATGAACTTCCCTCTGCAGGTAAATCCAGATACAAGTACCCTTGTTTTATATCTTCATGTAACACGTATAAAGATTAGATGTGAATCAAGTAAATTTTTGATTTGTCAGGACTCGATGCGAGGTATGAATCCGAGCACTCTGCAGTCCATGTTTCAGGCCAACCACATGGGCAAAGCCAGTCTCTACGACAACCAGGGGGGAAAGATGAAGAAGAAACAGCCCATGATGCTGCACCCTGACCCCAGCATCTTAGGTAAGTGACCTCGCCGACTTACAGAGATTGTCTTTTTGAGCTAACAGTCTAGACCTGTTAGCCCCTTTAGCTAGTTGTAAACATTCATTTTAAGTCAACAATACTTCGATGTTGTTAAATAGTCCCTCGCTGTAAACATGTTTTCTGTTCTAGACCAGTGGTTCCCAACCTGTTTTTCTCAAAGCTCCCCTTCTTTTACCTCCAATCCAAGCTGAACCCCCTCCAATTCACCTTTTGCTACATTAAACTGTAAACAAAATAAAATTACATTTAGTCTTTTCTAACATTCATACAAACATAAATGTATAAACATATATTTGTCCATCAATAGAAACGTATATAAACAAATCACAACAAAAGCTGTGCTGAATCTAAATTTGCATATAATACAATGTAAACCACACTTCATTTACTCTAAAACACTAGAATCTATAACCTATCAGTTTTAATCCATACTGTGCAAAAAAACAAGTGTTAGCATTGTGCTAATTGCTGCTAACATGCAGTCTAAAGCCCAAAGAGAACTGCTAGCATAATGCTAATCTCTCCAGAACACTCAGGCAGGAAAGTTTACAACACAAATATTAAACTACATAGTTACACAAATGCCTAATATTGCCATTACAAAAGACTTATCACATTGAGCAATATATTTAACTGTAAATGTTGAAGTTTTCTTAAGAGGTTTTTTTTTTTTTTTGTATGTTTGCATTTTTTAAAAGTCACTTCCTGTTTCAGCAACATTACTTCCTGTTTCACGCAAAGTCCTTCAGAACAAAAGTAAACAACCTGCATAGCCCCCCCTAGTGGAATGGAGGGAGTCAATTTAACACCCCACCTCTTACAAAAGACACATTAACCCTTTATCAGAATAAAAGGATAAAGTGAATATTTACAAACTTTTATTTGGAAAAAATAAGTTATACAGAGTTTTAATTATTCAAATGGACTTGTTTTGGTGGATTATTATTTTTTCTTTTTTAAATTCAAACAATAAATTGGTATTTTCACAACTTCTGACAGACATGGCTATGCCCCACCCCTCACCCCGCTGCTCTCAGGCGCTCAGGTTGGGAACCACTGTTCCAGATGAGCTTATTCCTTCTAGCTGTTTCTGTCTCTGATGTGATTCGTGATTATTTTGGTCCCCAACTTTTTCTTGTCCTGTTGTCGAGTCTTCCTCTGGTCTTAAGTTACTTTCTCTCTGTCTGTCCCCTCCCCCAGGGTACTCATTCCACAACCCGGGCGAATGTCTGAGCATGAATGAGCTGGAGATGGTGGAGGATTACTGATGTGACGCAGCGCAGCAGCAATAGCTACCTGAGGCCTTTCTGTCTTTTAATCAGACAAACCTGATGACGAATGTGCACTGCTGGGGGAACCGGGGAGGGTGGGGTGGGGGTGGAGAGGGAGAACCACGGGAGGGGGTTTGGGAGGAAAGGGAGCGAGCAAACAAGAAAGAAGGGAGGTGAAAGGCAGAGGGGACTAATCTCTGGCCCTTTATCTCTCCGGTTAGATAAAATAAAAGCGCTCCCTGCTGCACCGGTTGATCACTAGAGCGGGGGAGAGGGGGGAGGGTGAGCCGGGGGGAGGTTAGGACGGGGGTATCCTCTGGCACTCTAAAGATTAAGCACCTTATTCAAACTAATGCACTTTATTGAGATGGGATTTGAGTAGTCGTTTGTTTCTTTTATTTTTTTCTTTCGGTATGTGTGTGAGTGTTTGAAATCAGTGCACACACGATATGTGTACACACACATCTGTGTGGGGGGGGCGGTGAACGAGCAGGCGGGGGGGCGATGTTAGGTTTTCAAAGTCAGGGGGACCTTTTTAGTTGAAACCTTATCAGAGAGCAAATCCTTTCTCAAAAGACAAACACTGTTGATATTTCTCTTTGTTGAGCATTTTTTTACATTTATATATAAAAAAGTAAAGCTATGGAAAAAAAATTTGAGTATAAAAAAACTTGAAGATTTGCACTTGCCTCAAAAAAAAAAAACAAAAGACAAAAAAACAACAAATGGGGTTAGATAGAGAAGTGAATATTTTTGTGAATGTGTATGCGTGGAAGATGTGTGCTGGCGTGTGTGTCGGTAATAATATACAGTCTGCACAATGTTTCTTTTTTATTTTTTTTATTTTATTTTTTTTATTTTGTTGCTTACCAAGATGTATGAAACATAAGAGGCCATTTATGTCTTACTTTTTCAGTTCAGGCAGTAATTTCTATTCATGTTCCGAGTGCGTGCGTGCGTCTGCGTCCCTTTCCAAGCGGGGGATTTGATCTGTTCGATTCGAGAGTGCGACTGAACGAGAGAGAGGCCAACTGCACAAACATCCTTTCTCTCACCAGCTCTTCATCCCCAGACAGAATTAAAAAAAAAACAAAAGAACTCAACGCATTCATTTGTAAATGTTAGCTTTGCTCTCATGGTTTGATGGACGCCGCTTTCCCTCGGAGTCGTCTGCAGTCCTGTGAGGACTAAAACCTGATGAATCTTGAGGGGCGTTGGTGTGTGTGCATCTGAATGAGGTTCTGTGTGAGTGAGAGGACGTGTTCATTTACTGTTTGTAGAAATTAAGACTATAGGTACTCATTTTGTATGTGCTTTTTATTTTAATTTTTTTGTATGAATGCACATTTGTGCCTAAGAACTTTTGATAGGGTGCATGGCCATTGAGACATTAACTCTTTTTTAAGAGTGGATGCGATGTGTGTTGGTGCTCAGCACATTGTATGTAAAGTATGTAAGTTTAAATATTTCTAGTTCAGTCTAATTGGGGTGGGGGGGGGTGATCCATCGGAAGGTTGGTCAAGTTTGTTTTCCTGGGGTGTGATCACGTTGCCTTTTGTCAGCTCTCGATCTTGTGAATGAAAGGTGTCGAGTTTCTGACTCTGGAAAAAAAAACAGCATCTTAATGTGCAAGCGCACAGACGGTGCATGACATGTTAGCATATTGTGTTACTTATTCATTGTTGCGATTTGATAATGACGAGTTTTTTTTAATAAAAATATATATGGATATATACATTATATACAAAGTTTAAAAAGTATTTGGACTAAGATAATGAGCACTTGGGGCTGCTATTTTTGTTGTGTGTATTTTTTTATTTTTATTTTTCTTAAATTGTTCTTTTTTATTTTTTTTGTTTCATTATTGCCATGTGAAGTGTGTATTTTTTTTCTTAAGAAAACATTGAATGTATTCCAAAAAATTACAAACCCGTGCTGATAACAAATTTCTTTTTCCTCAGAAGATTTCAAAAAAATGGAAACAAAATAGAAAAAAAATAGCTTCAAAGAGGTTTTCATTTACACAGTGGCGAAGAAGAAGAAGAAAAAAAACTCGGGATGGACACAGTTGAACACACTGCCTCTACAATCCTGGTCGTAGTGACTCAGAATTAAAAGAAAGGACTTTTTTTTTTCTATTTCATACTGGAGCTTTGGTTGTTTACAAGCCACATGGATAACTGTGGGTGCAGTTTTTTTTTTTTTATTTAGTTTTGTTTTTGTTCCCACATTAAGACGGGTGGGGTTTGCAAGTGCGCTTCTGCCATACGGACAATGAGTGTTGTTGGGGTTTTTTCTTGAGGACGAGCGGCGGGCTTCTGTGGACACGTTTCTCTAACTTCGGCCCGTTTGAACCCCGATCAGCAGAAAAAAAATGAGGATGGACTTTATTTTGTGAGGAGCGGAGCGCGGGCCGCGTTAAGCTAGGGAGAACTGGTAGTTTTTGTGCTCGTCTTCACCTCGACCCTCATACGCACTCACACCCTGCCCTCACCAACTCACCTATGCACTTTTGTTCATTCAAGCTGTGAGGTACAATTTTTGGGGGATGGGAGCACAATTACAACAGGAGGGTTGCTACGACTTGGGACAAAGTCACTGAAAAAAAAAAATCCCAAACTGAGACTCGGGAAGCCAGTCTTCTCCCACCTCCTGTACATAACCATATTTTTGTATTATCTTTCAGAGTTAAAAAAAAAAGAGAGAAAATTTGCAAATGGATGAAGGAAATTCATTAGACATACAGAGTGAATGTTCTTGATGAAAACCAATCTTTTTTTGGATCTAGTTTTAAATGGACTCGCTGTGAGTTTCCCTTTATATGCCAGTAACCGTGAAATAATTGGGGATGGAAGGGGAACCCACATGGACTGAGGTGTTGGACGTTCTACAGTGGCTCCTAGACTGACTGGTGGCTGCTTATCACAATGGACGTTTGTTTGCCACGTTGAGAGCCTAACGAGAGTTTGATCACCACATGGTCGAGAGGCAGACTTGGGTTGGAATGGAGGTCGGTGAGGATTTCCACTCAGTCTCCCAACCTGATGACTGCCTTGAGGACTATAAAGTGACTGCAGGAGGAGGAGTGCATGGTAAGATATTCTTGCTGTTTTTTTATTTATTGATTGATTTAGGAATTACCCTTAAATGTCCCCAAGCTTGATCCCATGAATGATTGAGGATTCTGCTAAGCTTTATGACATCTTGAGTTGGTGATTGAGCTATTTGAATCCGGTGTTAAAGCAGCTACAACATTCAGGACATTGGGTCACGAGGACCAGGGTTGGGGGACCTCTGCTTTGACGTAGTCACAAGGATATCATTTCAAATACTTCATGTCCCTTCAAGAAGCCAAAATGCTATCAGATCCTCTTTACATAAACAGATGTGGTGTCAGTGAACTGGTCTACCATATAAGACATTGACTTTTTGTACTCTTGCAATGCATTGAAACAACACTAAATTAGATGTGATGGGACAAAGTATTTGTAACAGAATTTGTTTTTTCTGCTAGAGGTGAATGACAACGCTGCCAAACAAAACATTTAAATGCATCAATCTAGACAGACAACACATTTTACTACAGTAAATACATAAAAGTTGAGTTTGGTCTTGTAGCCCAGCACCTAAGCTTTTGCATCATCTTTGTTTGAAAGTCCACCTAAATCGAATACCATTTTTGTTAGCATTACCCTCACCCATTCCCCAAGGCCTACCCTACCATTTGGCCCTTGAAGCAATGTAGCAAAAAGTGTAGCAAAATCTTTTATTTTGAGCTGGGATACCCTTTTAGCTTGGTAATTGATAATGCTATAAGTAATACATTGGTACACATCATACTAAATGTTTTCTCTCCTGGAATGAAGCCCCACTTCCAGGGGATTTAGTCTTAGTCACTTTGCCCTCCCCCATCAGAAAAACAACTTAGACACCCCTGCCCCTCAGCATACACCATCTAAACAAAAGGTTGGGTTCAATGCCTGATATTTATTTGAAGTTCTTCTCATTGCTGTCAGGTACAGAGGGAAGGTTTGTGTCTCTTCAGTCGATTGTGTAAGTGGCATGTTGTGAAACAGGCAAAGCATCAGAGCAGAATATCTAAGCTGTTGTTCGACAGACTTCCGTAGAACTGAGCAGGAACCAAGTTAGAACAATTGTTGCTGATAATACAGTCCCAAGACTGCTTAGATATGAGGAAATTTTGTAGTTACATTTATGTTTTGGTATGCCATTCCTACTACTTGGTCATTTATCTATTCTATTCAGTTGAGGTTTCTATTGTTTAAAAGGAGAAGTATGTTGAGTTCACATCTAAAGAGCCAGTGTTAAAGGCAACTTCACAGTTCACTTACACCACATGTCAGTGTAATGAGGTCTTAAGTGATGGTGCAAATGGTACAATGGTATTCACTAAATATGTCAACTCTGATAATGTTTCCAACAAGATAGTATGGCAACTTGTGATGATTATTTTCCCCTTCTTGTTTTGTAAACAGGAGTCTGGCTTTGCTTTATTTGCTGCCCTCTGCAAGGAGGATTTAATCTACAGCCAACCCATGAATCAGCTAAACTAAAGCTGCCCTTTTTGAACTTGAACCCTAAGACACTTGTCAACCTCGGACTGGGCAGGCCGTCGGCATCGGTTGGACAAGTTAATCAGCAATTGAACACATCTGGGTCGGACACGTTGGGCTTCGGATCTGATCGGACACTCTCCAACGAGGAAGAGGACAGAAAGGCACAACGGTGCCACGATGATCACAGCCCCGAACACTTGGATGGGAGAGGTCTTCTACCGGCAGGACACATAACCTGCCCTCCTTCCTAAAACATAAAAGAATTACAGTGGAGCTCCTTGCAGCTGTGGAACTGGATGGACTTTAAAAAGGAATTGTACAAAAAGACTTTTAAAACATGACAAAAAAAACACGATTCGCAGAAATTCTCAAGTCCAAAGGAGCTGCAAACACACACTACATGCACACTTTACAACAAAAGTTACATTGACTCTCTGGAACCATGTCTGCACACACGATAGAGACACAAATATCAAACCACAAAGACATAAAAGCATCAGCGCTCATCGGTATAAATGGCGAGCTTTGTTCATAATGTAAAGATTTGTTTGGATTTTTCTCTCATAGTGGGGTTTTTTGCTTTACTACTTTGTTCAACATGCCTTAAATTGTATAGTTGAGTCTTGAATGGCTAACTGAAAATGTTCTCAATGATAAGTTTTAGTTGGAAACCACCTGGTTAACTATTCTCAAGTTGAAATATGGTTTCAACATTTTCTGTTGGCGAAGAGAGCCGTGGTGCATAAACCTCATACATGTGCATCCAATCACCTTTAAAGTTACTAGCTAACTACAGAATAGAGCAGGAAGTGTTTTTGTTTTTTTTATTCTAATTTTGCTGGTGGCTGATGTTGCCCGTTTGCTTTCTTTGAAATGGAGAGTGAATTTGTTCTGATTTAAGAAAATTTCAGGTGCAGGCTTAAAAGGGCTGAAGTCTGTACTGTTTGGAGCTGAGCTGAGCTGATTGGATTACGCGTAAACATCAATATTTTAACCTCAGTTTGAGAAAACTAATTTCAGTTAGTGTCAGTGAAATAAACAAAAAGATGCTGTTTTCCAGTTCTCATATAGTGACTGTAAAAGCAAGCTTGCATGATTTATTGTTGGTCATTTTGGACACTAAATGTTTTTTAGGTGCAAAACAAGTTGGTGCATCTGTTTGTCCTGTCGTTATTGTTGGCGACTACATAAGAAGCTAACAAGTCAGCTGTCTGTCTGTTAAAGGAAGGCTCATTCTGGATGTGCTTATTTAAAATACCTTTAAAACATTAAGGTTTTTAGTTAACTAGTAGTTTTTTGTCTCATTGATAAGTACGTAAAAAGCAGCTTTTAATCCAAATGTTACCTGATCATAATTGCCTAGCATCTGAATCGTAAAACCTTGTATGCATTATATTTTTTTGGAGATTTTTGTGTTACTACCTGCTATAGCCCCTGAGTAGCTGCAGAAAGCTGGTACACCTTAGTAACGCTTAATTGTCTCCTAAATTTAGACAAAGGAAGTCAAAATGAAGAGTTTGTAACAGAATTTAAGTTTATGCGGCAAAGTCTCTTATTTACGAATGTCTTTAACAATGGGGTGTTTTTAAGATGATATTGCGTGGTATTAATCAGTGGTTCGGCCTGCTTTACCTATTTTACTGCACTACAGATGATTTTATTACATTAACTACTGTATGGTGTTGTCCGGGAAGCAACAATTAAATTGGATGATTGATCTTTTGGAAAAGATTCCAACATGGCCGGTGAGCTCGAGGATATGAATTCGATCATGTGACGCTTGCTAAAAAGTCCACCTCCAATTTGGCAGTAATTGTACTCCAATCAGCTCAGCTCCACTGCTTATTAAGTCTTTGAATGTTGTTTAAAAAAATAACAACGTAACTGTACATTTAATGAATCTGTTTCAGAAAAGAACAACTGAAAGATGTGTAAATAGTTTGACTCCTGTTTGAAGAACAAAATAAATACTAAATAGCATTTAGTGGTCACAATTCTGGTTTTTGTGTGTGTATGTGTGAGTCCCTGGGAGAAATGCAAATAAATAGTGTATGCTTTTCTTAAGCATACTTCAATAATTTTAATATCTTTATAGAGAATGAAACCAGGAATGACTAAGTACTTTTATATGAATGACATTTTACCAAGAATAATTAAAAAAATTTACTGAAGAAATATTTAAACGAATTGAAAAACAAAAAATCTTAATATCTGAGACTTCCGGTGTGCCTGAACTGTAGTGATGGGCAAATGAAGCTTTTCTGAAGCACTGAAGCTTGCTTTGAAAAAGGGTTCATTACTCGAAGCTTTCCAACACAGTTCTCTTTGGGACCATCTTGTGGCCAAAAATATGAAAAGCTGCTTGAAACGGCACAAAGTGAAGCACTTCATCGTGATGGAGATGACAGCTTTTTAATGAGATATTTC